CCCCCCCCCCCCAATTCGAGCACTGCTTATTACATTATATTTCATTTGTAAACATGTTAAAATGCAAAATTTGTTTTTAAAATATCTGCTCTATTTGCTGAAAACGGTTGTTTGAATTTGTCGCTCAAATATACTAAAATAATTGCTATTAATAAACCGTACGGTTGGGTTATTTTTCTATTTGTTATTTATCGCCTATTATTATTGTAAATAAATTTTATTATTAAAATATATGCTGTTCATTATATTATTATTCGGTTTAGTCAATTTTTGTTACACATTATTCAAGAACCTCTTTTACTTTAATATTTTAGCCTTACTGTTTTATTAAATCAAATATACATTATAACACTTAATTTTGTTTATTTGAATTAGTCGTTCTTACTACTTGTCTCGATTGACTTCTGTACTCATTTTCTCAAATATCTGTCCATCGAAATAATAAAACCGAATTAATTAAATAATCAATGAATTTGTTGTCATTGTTACGTAGTTTTCAATTTATTACTCTAATATATTAATGACTATTTTTATCTTTAGACGTTTCACGACCACGTATTTCTATCTGCCTAAATATAAATAAATATAAAAACAAATTTTTATTGTGATTTACATAGCTCAGCGTCGTTTAACGCCGCGGTGCAAAGTCCAGCAAGTGCCGCATGGCCGACGACGTCCCGCCGTTAATGATACCGTATAGAGATGGAAAGTTTAGTAATATTTCACACAATTTTTATATAATAGTTTTATACATATCTTAAGTTTAAGAACTTTAGTTCTTAAGCAAACTGGCTACGTTGCTTCGATAGGTCTGTATAATTACAAAGGACAGAGCATTTAAATACAGTCTTTACGTTTACTAATACCACGTTGCCAGTTTGCTTATTACATTATATTTAATTTGTAAACATGTTAAAATGTAAAATTTGTTTTTAAAATATCTGCTCTATTTGTATTATATTTGAGCAGATATTGTTGTTATGTTTAACAGAAGTTTTAAATTTTTTTTACATTGAATTTTAAACTAAATATATATTGTAATTTACATTGATTAAATTATAGTTGAAAAGCAATCTACATAAGATAACCAATCCTTTCAAAAAAATAAACAAATTTGATACTTTATGGTAGACAATTTTACTATTATTATAATTATTTTTTTAACTTCATTTCTAAATTATAATATAAATAAACGTTTGGTCTCCTGTAATATATTGATTTAAATTTTTGTTGTAAATAATTGTTTTATCTTTAATCAAATTAGTTAATTTTTTATTAATTGATTAACTTTTTTCTTTGCTCTGTTTATAAATTCAGGATGAAAATTTCTATTTGTTTTATAATATTTACAATATAGATTAAGTCTACTTTTTATTTTTAATACTAGTCTATGATATTTTTTTCCTTTTTTAAGCAATTACAATATTTAAAAAATAATTTTATTAAATAAAATCATCAAAATTTTAATTATCATTTTATTGCATTAAAAACAATTTTCTAAAGTATTTTTTTACTTTTCAAAACTCATAATTTATGTATCTGACTCAATTTTTGAATATTAACCTATAAATATTATTCCTAAAATATCTATAATCAAAATTACCCTCTCTATAACTTTTAATAAACTTAATTTTAATCTCATATAAGTATGCCAAATATCGGATAATTTTAATAATTAGTCAAGTGATTAAATTAAAATATGTAATATCAATTATATTATTAATACTAACTACATTAAACACAATAATAGTAATATTTAGGGTTAAAAAAAATATAATATGCCTTAAAAAACATTTTGAAAAAGTCAATACACATCAAGAAGAAAAATGGAACCAAAAGTCTGACCAAAAAAAGGCTATGACAAAATGTTTATCCACACTTTCATTTGAGAGGACGCCATACAAATAACAAAACGATTTTTAACATGTTTTGCGCGAGACTCTATTTGGTCTATATTGATGTTAGAGTCCCAAAATTTGAACAAATTATAAAGGAGAAAATTATCTGTAGGGTTTAATCTAGGTTTTTATTTTTCTTTAATATTATCATTTCTAGTGTCGTGAACCCATAATTATTTTGTAAATTTTAGTTTTTAGGAATGTACAGTGGAACCTCGATTATCCGGGGTAATGACGGGGAGCGGGTCACACGGATAAATGAAAACCACGGTTGATCGAGACTTTTTATAATAATGAAATTTTTATTTAATTATAATAAGAAATGTAATTTAATTAAAAAATGTTTTATATTAATACAAATGATGCATACATAATA